AGCCCTCTGAGACGTTTCTGTGTGAGGCTGGTCTCAGCCGGGCTAGCCAGGACACAGGGCTTCGTGTGGATTCTTCTCCTCTGACTTAGACCAGGAGCATTTCCAACTCACAGAGGTTCCCATTCCTCCTCCTCTGTCCCCTTGAATTTCCAATGGGCCTTTCTCTACCTCAGCTTAACTCTCAAATGTCTAGCTAAGCCCCTTTAGAAGCGTTCCTGATTTAAAAAAAAAGGCCCATGGCGGGTACAAAGGCGCTTGTCACCTGACAGTTTCGCTCCTCTGTTGACTCTCATGATAACATCACTAGTGGCCCCTGAGCCAATGCAGTACATCCTTCAGACGAGGAGGTTGTTTAGGGGTTTTTATTGTAGACTCAGCGTGGATCTCTTATGCCTAGCAGGCTATGGTTGAGCAGCACAGGGGCCGGGAGGTGGGGACCAGAATAGGGATGGGTAAGGCCATCTGTCACCACCAGCCATAAGGTTGTTGCGGAATGTCATTTTAACCGAGCAAAGATGTGTGGCATCTGTTTATGCTGCGTTTGTTTGTTTAATGATGGAAGGGTGCGTGTTTAGTTATGCGAAGATGTGTTGCATTAGTTACGCCTTGCCTGCTTGATCTAATGAAGAGCCAAACGGCCAGTATCGAGGCAGGAGAGGGGTAGTCAGGGCTGGCGGCCAGAGAGGAGAAATGGGAGGCGAAATCCAGGCTTGAAGGGAGAACAGGAGAACTGGAGAACGCGAGGGACACATTTGGGGCAAGAAGTCAGGCAGCGGCCAGCCAGAAGTGCAAGTCAGATGTACAGAAGGAAAGAAAAGTAAAACTCCCCGAGGCAAAAGATAAGAAAGAGCCAGCCAGAAAGGAGCCAAAGCCAGGCCCAGCGTTCCCAACTAATAAGTACTCTCCTTGGCATGATTTGAGAGCTGATGGTTGGTCCAAAAGAAAGCCTGGAACATAAGGTCTCCAGCAATTGTCCTTCTTTTTATTCTTAAAAAACAAAACAAACAAAACCTGTGTGTATGTGCGCGCGTGTGCGTGCGAACGCATGCGTGTGTGTTATGTGGTCATGTGTGTGCATGTGCACTTGTGTAAGCAAGCACACATGTGCAGGTTAGGGAAGAGTCTCATATGTATGTCCTTGCCTTTCAACTATTTTTGACAGAGTCTCTTTGTTGTTTGCTACCCTGTGAGCCTGGCTAGCTGGTCTCCTAGCTTCTGGGGTCCTCCTGTCTCTGCCCTTCATTCTGCCTAAGCAGTGCCCAGACTACAGATGTGCATGACCGCCCCCACTTTCATGCGCTGTAGGGACTCAAACTCCAGTCTTCATGCTTGCGCAGCAAGCCCTTTAGCCACTGAGGCATCCCCTTAGCACTCCTATGCCCATTGGCCCTTGAAGGAAAACATTCCTGAGGCTTCTGTCTGAAAGGCAGATAACAAGCCTCCACCCTGGCCTTTCACACAGCAGAGCAATCAGGCTCTGCAGAGGAAGTGCGTTCTGGAAACCATGTCTTGACCACAGCAGAGAATGGAAACCCAGCAGGGAACCCTGCCTCCACATGCCAGGGCATGTGCTGCTATGTGCTGCAGGCACAGACCACATCTCAGTAGATGTGGCAGGGACTACTCCTATTTAGGGCAGAACTCCAGCTTTACTTAAGGCCATGGTGTACTCTGTTCCCACCTTGTCGGGACAGTGCCCTGTGACAAGGCCCTGGCCAGGGGTCGATAGCGAGGCTGTTGTGTAGAACTTCAGGGTAAGGTGCCTGAGAGAGAGTGACTCTACAAGAGATAGTTGTCCCGCCTCCAGACTTTAATTAGGATGTGCACCCTGTTATTCTGGAAGCCGCCTTGAACCCAGTGTGGTTTTCAGGACGGGATAAGCTGGGAGGGCGTGGCACCAAGATGAAGTGTGGTGAGGATTTTGACGTTCTTTATACGAAGGGATACAGATGTGTGAAGTGTCATTTAGAGGATTTCATCTTGCAAAATTACAGGAGTTGCCACAGCCGGGATTTTCACTTTGATACACTTAAGATCTCCTATGTTATTCTGGGAAGGTGGTGCAGTGGTTAGGAGACCTGACTCTTCTTCCCAGAGGACCTGGGTTCAATTCCCGGAACCTACATGGTATATATCAACTATTTGTAATTCCACTTCCAAGGGATCTAGCATCCTTTTTTGGCCCCTAAGGACACTGTATGCAGGAGGTGCACCCACACACGGGCAAAACACTCATATGCATATTTTTTTCTAAAATCTGGTAAAAAAAAATTACTTGTGTGTTTTCACTACCATGCCCATTTCCCTCCTGCCCCTGCAGCTTCTTGACCTCTGGAGAAGCTCCGTAAGGCCTGAATCTTGATGACAACATCATGTCATCCCAGACCTGGACCACTTAACCGTAGAGACACAAACATCTATATGAACTAAATCGTATGCTTTTAAAAAATTGTCGTGCAGTCAAACCTCACCCTGTACCAAGACAGAAGAAGCTCAGAAACGGAGGCTAAGAGATTGTTGCTACCTTAGAGTAAAGGAGAGACCAGTGGGAAGGATCAGGGGCCGATGCTGTCACAGACCAATCGGTTCCACCCGCTCCCAACAGTGACCGAGGCTTTCGTGAGACACCTCTGCTTTCTCCCCTTATCTTGCTGAAGGGTAATGTTAAACCATTCTTCTGGCTGCCACAAATATTTACAGGCACTGGCTGCACCCCGACATCTGCATGTACGGTTCGTGGAGGTGGCAGCATTTCTCTGGGGGGGGGGCATTTCTTTTTTGGCTTGGTTTTGTTGGTGCCTAAAAATATGTAATACTGTATCCTTTGAGGATTTCATACACGCGTAAATGAACTTTGATCATATTCACCCTCATTCATCCCCCAAATCCTCCCAGAAGTAGTGAGATATTCACTTTATCTGCATCTATGGCACTGACCACGCCCATTGGGGGGTGGAGACAGGCTGAAGTGACCTGGGGGAAGTAGGTCTGAGGAGGAGCCCGGGTGCTCTCTTGCTTGTGGCTCGCAGACCCGAGAGCATCTGGAGGAACCTGCTGGTGCTCATCTGTCTGGGTTGTAAGTTATTTCTCCCTGAACAAACATCTGTTTATCCTGACCCTTACCTGATATGTGGTGTCAGGAGCGGAATCCGGATTTTCACCCAGGCGGCAGACGCTGCTGCCTTCCCCACCATCGCTGAACAGGCAGGTCCCTTCCTAACCAGGCAGACACACTGCAGCTTGTGAGACGTTTGTGTCTGCCCTACACCTCACACAGCGTTCGCACAGAGCCCTGCGGCGCCAGTTTGGTACGAGCAGTTTTCCCACCGGCCTGGTCCCACAGCCACGCCAGCCCCAAATAACACACAGAGACGCTGGACTAGATATAAAGCTGTTGGCCAGGTACTAGTGTTTCTTATTGGCTAGCTCCGCCTTAAATACTAATCCATTTCTATTAATCTAAGTGTTTCCACGTGGCCTTATCTTAACGGAGAGAGGGCGTTCTGCTCTCTTCGTCCTCCATGTTAAATCTCCTCCTACCTCTCCCAATCCTCCTTGTCTCCTCCTCCCGCCTATCTTGCTTTCCTATTGGCCAATACGAGAAACATTTTTACAGAATGACACCTCCCATGACCCAGACCCTTCCTACCACCCCACTCTTACACACCCCCCACTTTTTTCTGCTTTCCTTCCTTGTTTCCTGTGACCGTGGAGTCTAATTTTGCTGCCCCTACACTCATACGTATGCGGACATCCACTGGAGTGTGTTAACCTACCTAGGGCTATGCCCTTAAAGAAAACTGGTCTTCCCTCCCCAGAAGCCCCCAATGCTTCTCAGGTAGGGGTGGGTGTTCACAAGCCCCCTCCCCACTCTGTGCTAGTGGTTGACTGGTTTGATCTTGTATAGGTCTTGTGGAGGCAACTACAGCTACCATCAGTTCGTGAGCGCAGTTGCCCTAACACATCTGGAAGACTCCGTTTTGTCAGGTCCTCTTTGACTTCTGGCTCTTACTGTCTTTACAAACTCCCTTCTCCCGTGGTCGCTGAGACTTTGAGGGAAGAGTTAATATAGACGCTCCATTTGTGGCTGAGAGCTCTGTGAATACCATTCTCTACTCTTGGATCAGTTGTGAGTTTCCTTGTTAACTGCCAAGTGGTCCGAGAGCTGCACTAACCTATGAGTAAGAAGATGTGAATTTGGAGGGAGCTTGGTATGGGTGCATTTAACAGTATAATAGTGGTGGCTTCACCCCTGGACCTGTGAGCTCCTCAGCCATGAGTTCTTGGCTAGTTCTTGGTATCAGGCATGTGCTTCCTCTGTAGAATGAACCAAATAGAAAGTGTTGTAATTAAAACAAAAAAAGTGGCTTGAGAGAGAAAGACACCATTTGACAGAATTCGAGCGGAGAAGTTTTTTATTAAGGAGAAAGGGGAGGGCAGGAACATTGAGAGAGAGAGAGAGAGAGAGAGAGAGAGAGAGAGATGAACAAACAAAGGGAGAGAAAGAAACAGAGAGAAGGATGGGAGGTGGGCAGGGCCCTTTAAAAGGGAACACAGTGAATGTGCACAGGTGGTGCTCTTAGTGGCTGCAGCTGAGGGTGTGTCCTGCCAGAACCCCAAGGGAAGGCTGGTACAGATGCCTGAATACCAACAGACCGACAGAAAGAGATTAGTTAGTCCTGTAACATTTGCCCCACCATTGCGCCCATGGGCTTACCTTGCCATGCTGGTTTTTACTATAGCTTACAGGATTCACAGTGGGGTGAATATGGGTGAGCTGTAGCCTAAGCTGCCTTTGAATGTGGGGGCAGTTCTCCCTCCTTGGCCTCCTGACCACTGGGGTTACAGCTTTACGCCACCATGCCTAGCTCGCTTGTGGGTTCCAGCTGGGGAAATGTTCGGGGATGTCCTCAGTGAGTTGATGTGCCATGCCTTGCTGGACCCCATGGAGTTTTGGGGGCTGTCTCAGCTGCCTGCTTACACTGTACTTCCCTTTCCAGGTGCTGGGGTCAGAGAGGATGTGTTTCTCATCTGGAGAGAAATGGAAGAAGCTTGCAGCATACTGGCTCAGGTGCGGAGGCTGGTGGACAAGCCTCCTCAGTCGGACGTGTCCCCAGCAGACTGCAGTAGGTGCCATTTATATGTGTGTGGTGCAAAAAACTCAGGGACATCGGTGGCCCGGGACGCGTGGGAGGGTTGGAGTCCCATGCTTCTAAACAGGAGAACTTCTTAGCTCAGCCTGGAGGCGTTGCTGGGCAGAGTCTCTGGAGCTGTGGGATGTGTGTATATGTGTGTGCATGTGTGCATGTGTGTGTGTGTGTGTGTGTGTGTGTTGCACACACAGATATGTACATATACATGCTTGGGCTCATTCCCAAAGAAGAACCAGTAGTTGAGCTATAAAGGCAGGAACTGTCTCTAGCAAGAGGAGGGGTCAAGGTTTGGTAGAGCTGGGCTCAGTTCAGAACACAGCACAGACACCCACAGTGAGGGGTAGTGGGGCTCAGTAAGTGGGAAATTACTAGGAGGAGATGGATGGATAAGGAGGCTTCTGTCTGGATTCTTGCTGAAGACTGGATCAGATGTGATGGGTGTGAGAGCTCCCACTGAAATATTGAAGTTGATCATTTATCAGTTGGGGGCTGGGATTCTCGTTGTAGCATCATATTAAGATTTGTGCTAGCTATGCAGAGCTGAACATGGAAGTCCAAAGACAGAGGACATTTGGAAAGAAGACACGGAGAAGTACCACTCAAACTTAGACATCTTCCAAGAGGCATGTGGGGGTTTCCTTTGTTTTCGAGACAGGGTTTCTTCATGTAGCCCTGGTTGTTCTGAAACTCACTCTGTAGACCAGGTCTACACTCACAGAGATCTGCCTGCCTCTGCCTCCCAAGTGCTGGGATTAAAGGCGTGCGCCACTTCCCCTGGCAGGGCACGTGAGTCCTCAGGGATGGGCCTTGCCTGCAGACTGAGTCACATCCAACTGACCTCTCACCTTCACACAACCACAAAAATGCTGCATTTGCTGCATTCACTGCATCCTAATTTAAGGCCACTGATCTCCTTTGAACAGCAGAAATTCACTTGTTGGATGCGGATGCAGTTTGGGAGGATTAGGGTGTGTGAGGCTTTGTATTGCCACTATTCAAAAGAAGTCACTGGAACGTACTTGCACCTCTCCACCTTTAGAGACCTGTCACGCTTCAAGTATCAATGACAACTGTCGTGTGACACAACTCCTGGGAAGCAAATATCTATTGTCCCAAGACAGAGAGCACATTACGGACCAAAGTAACAATACCACCAAACCCCCACTTGGTGAATACGCGAGTTTATGGGAGTCACTTACGGTGATAGGGACAACCCAAAGGCGGTGCCTTGCTGCAGGCCCTCACTGGCAATGGGTGACAACTCATGAAAGCTGGAACCAGGAGCTCTCTGCTCAATTTGCGGGCAGCTCTACAGATCTACAGCCTCCTCTGGGATGAGCTGTGGGTCTGAAATTCTATAATGATCTGTATGTAAATACCTTCATTGCAACCCAGCACATGCATGTCCCCCAAAGAGGATAACTCTAAGCAGCCATTGAGGAAAAAAAAAATACTCAGGATGTAGCATTTATATTCTAAGGGGAATTTGATCATGATCATTCTTCCAGTGGGTGGCCATCTGAGCTTTTGTCTGAATTTGACTCCAGCATCTTCACGGAGAATGTCTGACCAGCCCTTTCCTAGTCACAGCCCGTGCTCAGTGTGAGCAGCTGGCAGCCAATCCCTCAGCTTGACTGCTCAAGGCCTGAAGGAGGTGGCGGGGGGGGGGGGGAAGGCTTGGATTGTCGTTTGGGTAGACTGCAGGTGAATTAGACGAAGGGTCTCTGGAGGTAGCTGTCCTCATCTTCCTGTCACAGACTCACTCCCATATCCACCTCCCCGGAGGGCGTGGCGGTCAGGGACCAGTCCGCACATGTCACCACGGTGGTGGTGGGGGGGGGAGGGGGCAATATCTAGTTGAGGTGACTCATTATTAGCCTGATGTCTGGGATAAGAAGGCAGCAAAGCCCACATTGGGAGTTGACCTGTTTTAATCCCAAGAGCAGGACATAAAAGTTCCGTAAGGAAAAAAACAAAACAGTGGACAACGTGAAGGCGCGAAGACAATGGATACCAAGCAACAACGGCAGTGATTGACAAGGCACAGGACAGGCAGTGACCAACAACAAGGCACAGGACAGAAAGAAGGGACCGTTGCTCTTCCCAGTTGATTGCCTTGTGAGGCCATGGGGCATGGAGGGGGAAGCTGGGAGGAGCTTGTCAAAACTTGCTGTTTGCAGAGACAGAGCTGGGAGGTCTGGAAGGAATGAGGCGGCTGCAGAGCATTGCAGAGCATGCCAGAATGGGAAGAAATGCATGCCCAAAGCGGCACGCACGGGCTGCTCCCTGAGAATCAGTTCACACATGGAAGAAAACTGTCTGACAGTCAGGGGCTACTGGAAGGAACCAGAAGGAAAAAAAGATAATGCTCACACAGCCTCAGGACCAGTGTCAGAGGGCCCTGTGACTTATGGGGGTGTTAAGACTACGTGGGAAGGTCTTAACTTCAACAGCCAGGAATGGCGAGCCTCAAGCAGAACACTGCTCTGGGCACTTCCCAGAGGCCATCAAAGTGAGATGTGATTCACAGCAATTGGCATTCAGTCAAAGATTATCACGCAGGAAAAGAAGCAAGAAGAGGGAAAAACTGATCTGTCAAAATGGACAGGGCGAGGCAGGATGACGTGATAGCCCAGAGACATGTTCGGGTAAGGGTCACTGGTACTGATCAGTCATACAAAGTGGAGTCAGCTGGGGAGAGGTAACTTGAATTAAAGATTTGTCTCTATCGCGTTGGCCTCTATCGCCTGCCTGTGGGGCATTTCTTATTGATAGAGGAGGGTCCAGGCCACTGCGTACTGTACTTTCCTTAAGCAGGTGGACCCGGGCTGCTTAAGAAAGGTAGCTGAGCGAGTGAGCCAGTAAGCAGTGTTCCTCTGTGGTCTCTGCCTTCAGTTCCAGCCTTGACCTCCTGTCCCGTCTAACACCAGTAATGGATGACGATGTTCAAATATAAGCCAAATAAGGGCTCTCCTCCCCCAAACTGCTTTGGTCATTGTTCTGTCACAGCAACAGCCAAGGCATCTAGGCAACTGGCCCTCGTCACTACTGCTTCTTCAATTCTAAGTAGCCCAGTCTGAGATGCCTCCCTGACGGACTGGTGGAGGGAGACGGAGTTATGATGCCCAGGCGTTAGACTTGAAACTCGGGCCTGCCATAGTGAAACAGTGGTGGTCAGAGCTGTGTGATACCTACCGTGGTCAAAGCCTACCAGTAGGCCACTACCTGCACAGTGGGCCATGTGGCCATGTCACCCACCCTTACTTTAACCCTAGCTGCAGAGCAGGGAGTAAGACATAGCTCACCCTGGGGAAGGGACAGAACCTTAGCCCACAAGGTTTGAGATAGTGCTCAATTGCAGGCTCACTGCAGGGAGACCCAGTAGCCGGTGGAAGCTGGAGGTGGGCCTGAGCTCCCAGACCCGTGTGCTAATGGGACAGACTCTAGTTTTAGCCATGTCACATCTGGTTTGGGAGTAGGTTTGAGCACGCCTCCTCGTGAGCCAGTGCAGACTCCTGTCACTATGAAATTCGGGAAGTGCAGCCCATCTTACCATCACCGTTGATGGGCAAGGTACTGTCTCTACCATCCCCAGCCCGCAACTTGGGTAGCACGACTTGTGCTCCAAGAGGACATACTTGCGTTTTGGGCTACATCTCCGCCAGCTGTGTAATCGGCCTCAGATACCCAAGACTGTGTGGGTACTTCCAGCTGTGATACTCAGGTAGCTTAGCTTAGCATATGCTAAGATGGTTAAGGGACTGCAGTCACCAGTTTCAGCCAGTCTGGAAAAGCATAGCATCATGACCCAGGATCCCATTTGATGTGAGTAAGACAATCAGAATCAAAAGATGTTCTGGAATTGAGTGCTCAGCTGGTCAAACTGAATGCTAGGCGTATTCTAATGGCCTCCATCCTATGTCTGCCAGTAGATGGGACCTCTGAAGTAGCTGTAGAGCTGGAAGACATACCACACTGGGACATGGACCACTGTCCCATCTGGCATCACTGTGGTGGTGGCAATGGTTGTGGATCAGAGATTCACTGACTCTGCTGGCAACCCATAGCCATGTGGCCCGAGCTGTAGCGTAGTTGTTGGTCTTGGCAGGTCGTTGGCTTAGGTTGGTGACATTGGTAGCCATGGCTGTCACTAGAGAGACACACTGTGACTGTGTTCAGAGCCAGACAGAGTCCTTCAGTGTCTTCTCTGGGGCTGGTGATTGTGAATGAGACATGCAGACCTTTCTAGGTCACAGGGAGTGGCTTGTGGGGGACAGCCTACTCACTTGGTGAACAACACACCATCAGCATATTCAAGAAATCTGGGCTTGGGTTGCCCTTTGTCCCTGAAACAGTGACCACATGCTGACAGCAGACTCCTGGTTTATCTCTCTACCCGGCTGCCACCCAGTACTGAATTAAGGAAAGTGACCGCATGATTCTAGCAGGTGTGTCCAACCTTTTGACATCGAGACATGTTATTGGCATCTACAGGATTCCTGCTCAAGGTGTTTTAAGTGTGTGTGTGTTGATGTTTTGCTTCCAAGTATGTCTAGGCACCCCATGCATGCCTGGTGTGCCTGGAAGCTAGACGAGAGCATTAGATTCGCTGGGACTTGAGTTAAAGATGCCGATTAACTACCATGCGGGTGCTGGGAATTGAACCAGATCCTCTAGAAAAGCAGTCAGTGCTCTTAATCACTGACCCACCTCTCCAGCCCCTCACAATGTTTTGGACATGTTTCTGATCTTACGTTGGATTGCACCATAGCTATCCTGGATGGTGGCAAAGTGACCTGACACCTGGGAAGTAAACAGCTTACTTTTGGGTAAATGATGGACCAAAGATAAAATCAAGAAGAGAATTAGTCTTTTCTCCTGACACCAAAGCAAAGGGAGACACAATGTATCAAAGCCTACAGCAGAGGAGTGTAGCAAAGTGAACGTGTACAGCAACTTGTTCCCCCGTTGGT